ATATGATTTTGTGTCTTACTTTGTATAGCTCTTTATATTATTTAGTAGATTTATATTTTTCCTTGTATACTCATTTACTGTCTTTTTCTTTTGTGGACTTTGTTTTGCACACTGATGACTCCACAAGTGCTCTACCACTGAGGAGCCAACTAGTAAGCATGTGTTCCTTGATATGGTGGACAACATTGAGTTGGTACAATGTTGTGTGTATATATATGCTGCATAAATACAGATGAAGAAATACAAAAATTAGTAGAAATAAATGAAATTTTCAATAAAGGCAGGAACAAAGCTTGAAGATTTGATAAATTACTCTAGCAGCAGTTAGAGTTCCACAAAGTCAGAATGTGCCAATCACTGAATAGTTGTTACCTCATCTCCCTGGCATAAACAACTTCTGTCCTCATCAGAGGACAGATCAAAGAAACAAATGTGTGTCAAACAGTCAGTAGTGATCGGGTAGTGTTTGGTGGATTGGTAATGGTCTAAGGTGATGGTTGAGGGTCCAGATTTTCTTTAGCAGTGGAAGGAACACAAGCAACAGACAGGCATTGAAAGGCCATAGAAGCTTTGGTGAGGCTTGGGGCTGAACTAATTCAGAGCTGCTGTGTACCCCCTTTCCCACCAATTCAATGAAGAGTAAATATAATATAAACTTCAGGCAGGTTTTTGTTACATAAAACTTTCTTTAAAGATACATTTTTTCAGCATTTTAATCAATTATAAATATCAATATCATTATCATTGTAATCCAAAATTCTACCCCGCACGTAACAACACGTTTAAATGCAGATTATTTCTAAAGAGCATGTGCATATGTGCACGCTAGCATCTGAACCAAAACTTTGTGTGCATGCATGTATGCATTCTTAAAAGTATACAAAGAGAGTTTTATATATCTGTTTTTGGTGCCCAATTATGACTTGTAGCCACAACACAACAGTGTATGTGAAATTCATAGATAACACTGCACCTATCTCTTTTAGGTATTGTAGGCCTTTGTTCTGCACAAAGTTTAACACCACCAGTGACAGGTACCAATGCATCACTACACATGCTGTCATTCACTCATATTTAGAGACACTTTGTACACCTTAAACAGAGAGCTGGACTGGCATCTCACACCTATCAGCCAGTCGCTGTCTGGCTATCTTGGCAGTGAATGGCTGACGAACCCGAGATGCCAGTCCAGCTTTCTATTTAAGGTGTCCCAAATGTCTCTGAATATGACTGATGATCTTGGAGGCATTAGGCAGTCAATAGTGCCATAGGAGAATAAAAATATACCATATTGCCAGAGATTTATATTTTATAAATCACATATGTCATTGTACATTTTATATAAGAATTGTTAAATTCAAGGCTGGTCCTTGAGGTAAAAGTATAATAATAAATTAATGATTACTGTAAATATATTTTTCCACTGATACATGTCCATTTTTTGCTTAACTCCATGCAACCAGGATCATGTAGTGTTCACTGTTCATAGTTTTGTGAAATGTCTCTACACATTGATGGCTCTACAAGTGCTTAGCTGCAAAAGAGTCAATAAGTAGACCTTATGACCTGTTTTGTTTTGTTTTATTTTGTTTGTTTTTTACTCATGCTATCAATATCAATGCTGTTGTTATTATTATTATTATTATTATTATTGTTATAGGCATTATAATTATTTTAATGCTATTAATAAAGGAAAAGGGGAGATAGTACTATTATTATTGATGGCTTAGTACTTCTGGAGCCATTTATGTGTGAAAACAGTCACTAAAATATACTGACAATGTACAGATATGCCATCTCAGGCTGTATTTTGCTAAATCCCCACAGGGCTGGATTATATATATATATACCCGCGTGGATGTGCTTGTGTGCGTGCGTTTTTTCATCTTCTTCTTCTTCAAACAGCCATTCACTCCAGGACATAGGCCTCTTTCAATTCACTATTGAAAGGTTAAATGACAGTGCCACCCTTGCCCGATTGGATGCCTATCCTGATCACCTGCAGTTTGGCTTCCCCTATATATATATATATATACACATACATATATATATACACATACATATGTATGTATATACCTACATATATGTATATATATACGTATATATACGTACATATACGTACATATACGTACATATACGTACATATACGTACATATATATATATATATATATATATATATATATATATATATATATATATATATATATATATATATACAGTAAGTCCCCAACTTAAGAACATAATGGGTACCGAGAGGCTGTTCATAAGTCAGATTGTTCATATGTCCATTTGGGTCTCCATTGCCTTTTTTCCCATTATTTTAAAGTTTTGTTTACATAAAGAATACCTGTACATAAATCCCAATAAGTATGACATACCTTATGCAGTACCTGTAATATGTAATGCTTTTAATATTATTTGATTGTGATTCATACAACTTTAATATAGAAACATAATTTATTCAAAAAGAAAATATATTGTAGTGGCTAGCAAACCGTT